ACATTGTGTTCTGGACTAGTGTCTGCCATGTGGTAAGACACTCGGGAGAGAGAAGCAGAGGAGACAGGGAGATGCTGTGGGCCAGGCACTGTGGAGGCGTCCAGGTAGCAAAGGCACTATTCACTAAGGAGCAGCTGAGGCTGCTGGGGAACGGGACACAAGCCCCCAGAGAACTGCCACAGGCATGACAGACCAAGTACCAAGCGAACAGGACAGGGGATGATGCATGTCCTGGCTAAGAGGAGGAAGAGAAAGTTGTCTGCTGCCGTCAGAGCAGAGCTGGCAGAAAAGGTGGATCCTAAACTGTTGGTGGGAGGGACGTGAAGGACAAAGATAAGGAAAAGGGAGAGACTTCAGGCTCAGGAAAGATGGTCTGCCTCAGTTTCCTCAGACATAACATAGGAATAACAATAGTACTCTCTATCCTAGGTTTATAAGGATTAAATAATGCATGTGAAACATTCTAGAACAGTGCCTGGCAAATGCTAAATAATAAATGTTACCTCGTTTTCTGTCAAGAAGAAATGGGACAGAAAGAAAGGTAGATTGTGAGCAAATCAGGAAAAGGCCCAGATGACTGGTCAGGAAGTTGGATTCTAAGTTGTTGTTTTTTTTTTTTTTTGAGACAGAGCCTCAAGTTATCCCCCTGGGTAGAGTGCCATGGCATCACAGCTCACAACAACCTCCAACTCCTGGGCTCAAGCGAGTCTCCTGCCTCAGCCTCCCAAGTAGCTGGGACTACAGGCGCCCACCACAACGCCTGGCCATTTTTGGGGGGTTGCAGCCATCGCTGTTGTTTGGCGGGCCCGGGCTGGGGATTCAAACCCACCACCTTAGGTGTATGTGGCTGGCGCCTTAGCCGCTTGAGCCACAGGCGCCGAGCCAAGGATTCTAAGTTTTTGAGGAAAAAAGATGTGCATACAGTGAAAGAAGAAGATATTATCAGTAAGAGCAATGGATAGGGTGTCTGAGCTGAGGAATCTAGTCTTGCTTCCGATCAGTGTGATAACTGAGGGAATCCCATGACACCATTAAGTCTGTGTGTTGTCTAAGGTCCCCTCCGAATTCTACACTGCAAAGTGATCATGGAAAAGAAGGGGAAGTTGTGACTGCTTGGCCACTGCCTGCATCATGAGAGATCAGATGAAAAGAGACACCAGAGAAAATTCCAGGGTTTGAGCCAGGATAGGGAAATTGAGAAAAGAACAGGTTTGGGAGAAAGAAAGGTGACCTCATTGTGGATATACTGAATTTAAGACGAGAGTAACACATCCCAGCAGAAATAAATATCCAGGAAATGGTTAGAAATGTAAGCCTTGATTCTGGAAACCATTTGCAGGGCAACAGTTGGAAGGCATGAGAATAGATGCCTCCAAGTCTTCAGTGTGACTCTGAATGATCCACCTTCCAGAGGTGTCCTACGGTGCAGAATGTGACCAGGATGGCTGGGAGAAATGTGAAAAGAAAGAATGGTGAAAGCAAATGTTGAAACCAACAGAAATGGAAATTTGTGGCTGCCCCTTAGAAGCTTGGAGTGCAGCACCCAGGGACACTTGAAGAAACATTCACAGGAGATCCTGATTTTGAAGAAGTTGTAGCGGAAGGCTGTAGCTTTGTCCCTGGTTAGTTCCAGGCTCTCTAGTCTGGAGCTGGCAGGAAGCCATCCCACTTCCCTCCAGATTGCCCCAGCTGCTGCTATAGGCTTGGTTTCTCTTCTCTTTTCCCCTCTCCTCTCCTTTAAGGGCCTCTGGCAACCTAAAAAGTCATCCCAGCCATTGTGTCACTGCCTAATTGTCATCCATTCCCTGAAGTTTAAAAATATATTATACAATTCAAGTGTGTCAAGTAAAAAAATGTTGGCTTTGGGCAGCGCCTGTGGCTCAAAGGGGTAGGGCGCCAGTCCCATATGCTGGAGGTGGTGGGTTCAAGGCCAGCCCCGGCCAAAAAAAAAAAAAAAAAAAGCAAAAAAATGTTGGCTTTGAAATGCACTAATAGTAGGTTGTATTTCATTTAGTCTTATATTAGGAGCCAAAACCTAGGAGCTGACATGTTTGTGAGATCACAAAGCAATTAGTAACTCTGAATTCACTGGAGAGGAAAATTACCATTACTGGCTTCAAAGTAGGCAAGCAGGCTTCAATGGAGACAAAGGTTAAATAGAACATAGTGGTGGTGGTTCTGTGGCAGTAGCATGGTGGTGTTTGTGTGGTGGTATTGGCAGGCAGCCATGAGTATTGAAAGCAATTGGCAAGAGTTCCTGACACCAAAAAAGGCTAAGTTCCTGGGGTACCAGGACAAGATATATTTCGAACTTCTCCAAGATGGAGGATTTCCAAGGACTGAGTGCCCAATGAGAAATGTTGGCCATACTAGGCAACTAACTCATTCATTCAGCCATCACTGGCTGAGCAATGAGCTCATGTTCCCATGGCCAGGATAGCTGGGGGGCACCAGTAATAAGAAACATTTTATGTCTAACCTCTCTGTCAGAGGACTGAATATTGGGAGGGATAAAAGAGGGAATAATGTGAATTGGGCCTTGGGTCATGTTAATCCAGATGGGAATCTTGGAAGCACGTGGGGAGTCTTGAGCAAAAGTCCACCCTTCCCCAAATTCTTACACTTTTCCTTTTCCTTCCAACCTTTTCTTCAGTTATAATACTTCAGAGGACAACCTCCCTGGACTCAGTTCCCCTTTTTCCAGGTCTTGTTGCTTTCTCACTTCTGAGCCTAATCCTAGTCTCATGCCCTGTCCTTGAAAATGTCACACTAATTCAGAGCTGCAGCTCCACAAGCATCATCCCTGTCATCTTTGCAAGTCCCCCAGGGTGAGGCTTTGCCCATCTCACTTCCTACACACTATTCTATCCAAGCTTTGTCAAGATTTGTCAGTTCTTAGTTGAGTCTAGTTCAGACCTGGACACCATTTTTTTATTTCAGTTCTTCTAGACACTACGTCAAATGACCCATACCAGGCTGATAAAGACTCACTGACCGAGGCACAGGAATTTCTGGGAGGCGAAGGATTTTTCTGGGTGTTTCTGAAACAAATCCTTTTCCTCTTGTCACTGACAGCCTATTGAGTCAACAGTCATATGGAATGTGAAGAGGAAGAGGTGAGACAGTTATGGAAACTTGGTCAAATCAATTGCCTTCTGGGACTCCATTTCCTTCTTTATAAAATGATTTTGGAGGTCCCTTTCAGCTCTGACAGTCTAGGATACTATGCAATGGAGACAGTTAGTTTTAGGACAGGCTTGGAAATCTGAAGCACTTCTGAGGCCTTCTCTCATGTCACTTGCAGTCTAGAACGTTTAACTTTTGGAGTTAGACTGATGGTAGAGCTTATTTTTAAAAAAGAGGTCTAGTTAAGATTCAATAGTAGACCTAAGTGTCCAGTTGGGCTTGGATCTATTTCCAGGAGACACGAAGCATAATGACATGTAATCCTTAAAATTTAGATCCTCACTCTCCCATAGCAGAGCTGGGAACAGACTTCTCACTAACTTCTCACTAAGGCAGTGGTTCTCAACCTTCCGAATGCTGCGACTTTAATACAGTTCTTCATGTTGTGGTGACCCCCAACCATAAAATTATTTTTGTACAGCAATGAAAATAATTGTAAAGGGGTGGCATTAGGAAGGTTGAGAACTACTGCACTAAGGGATGCATAAGGGAGTACCTGTCTGGGGTTTCACCAATGTCATGTGGAAGGGATATGGGTTTAGGATTCTAAACATCCATATTCTAAATATGAAATACGGGGTGTAGGTGGAGGTTAGATGGGGAAGGCCAGGGCAACTACAGACTGCTAAATGCAGTCTTAGCCGCTGCGCTTTAATATGAGGACAAACTGCTGATGGTCCCCAGCCAGGCCAGGGGAGCCCGCTTTGCACTAGTGCATCCCCAGCTCAGAGCACACAGACAGTAAGTTGGTCCCCTGTCCCAGCCCCATGGCAGCTCCTGTAGAGTTTTCTTTGGCTCAGAGAAGCAGAGGCCTCCCCTGAGCCTGGGCCCCCCTCTACCGCAAAGCAACTGGCTTCCATTACCCCTGACAGCTCCAGAGCAACAGCCCAGCACCCCCACCCCCCACCCCACCCCAGCCTGGCTCTGTGCCGTTCCCTTTTATGGTGAAGCTGAGAGAAAGCAATGAGCAGGGGGGAGAAAGTTCTGCCTGGGTAGATGGTTGCAGAGCTCCAGGGTGCCTCCTTCCTCTCCAGAGACCTCTGTCGACTCACTCTGCCCAGAACCCATGACCCCTCTTGCTTGACCCAGCCTCCACCACCTCCACCACGCACCATCTCTTCTTCTCCCTCCCTCACATCCGGGGGGTGATTTCCCACTTGGCTGAAGTCCTACGTTGCGTTTTGATTCCGGGAGGGTCCGCCCTATTTTCGACGCCCACCTCCAGGGGTGGGTGGAGGGATCTCGGGTAAGACAGGCACTGACTGGTCAGATCACAGGCAGGATCGTTCTTTTTGGTTGGATATGGATGAGAAGGATTGCGCCGGGGAGAGGAACACTCGGCAGTCCCAGGCCTGTCCCTGTTCTTCACCGCCTCCCATCTCCCACCCCTGTCCCCGCTGCTCAAGCCAGGGAGGGAACACCAAGGGCAGGACCCAAAGGAAGCACCTGGCTGGGCCGGACCGGGAAGCGAAGGGTGGGCAGCAGTTTAGGGGGCCGGGGCAGGAAGGGGAGGTTGGAGTTGAGTATCCCGGCCGGCACCACCGCCGCACCCTCACCCTATCCCACTCCTGAGCTCAGGGGAAGCGGCCACCGCGGCTTCGCTAACCCGGTCCCAGGCCAAGTGAGCAGCCACCAGCTGGGACCTGCAGTGTGGCGCCGAGCCCCACGCCCGCCCTGCCCCAGAGTCTGGCCCTCCCACTGCAGCCGCGCCCCAGACCCCGCCTCAGACCCCGCCCCTTAGAGGGCCAGGGCGGAGCAGGCGAGACGGTGGGCTAGAGAGGCACCCGACCGCGCCGCCCGGCCGGAAGTGGCTGCTTTGGGACTGAGCTGGCGCTACGAAGTTCCGGCTCGGGTCTCCAGTCTCAGGCTTGTGCGCCCGCGGCGTCGGAGCCCAGCAGAGCTGATCAGGTGAGAGGCACGCAGGCGCCGTCCCATGGCCAGCGCCGCCGTGGCTGGCACTGGGGGCGAGGACGGGTCTTTACGAGGCCGAGGAGTGCGCTGGCCCGAGGCACAGTCCCTCCTCTTCTCCGCAGGATGATCACGGACGTGCAGCTCGCCATCTTCGCCAACATGCTGGGCGTGTCGCTCTTTTTGCTTGTTGTTCTCTATCACTACGTGGCGGTCAACAATCCCAAGAAGCAGGAATGAAAGTGGCGCTTTCTCCGCCCCAGGTAACGGTCTGGGGCTGTAGCGCCCAGGCTCTCGGCAGCAGATGAGTGGCGAGGCCGCACCAGGGCCTGCAGGGTTCGAAACTACAAATCAGAAAGTGACGGGCCAAGCATGATACAGTCCAAAACTGGGCCCTTTATCCACTTAGAGAGCGCCTGGCATTGCCTCGCCCTCTCCCCCTAAATTGCTCCCTGCTAGAATGGGAGTGGCTGTCCTAATCCTTCTTAGTAGGGAGATGCCCAAATTGGGGGTAGGGTTACAAGGAATACTGACACCAGTAGGAACAAAAGTACTGAGGATACCCTCCAAGTTGAGGGTTTGGGCTCTTCGCTTAAATAACCCTTCCTCAGAGTTGTTTAGACCTTATTTAGGCAGAAATTTTTGATGAGGGGGTAAAAGATGTAGAATTCTATTTCTGTGTCCTGAGGGCTGGGTTACTGATTGAGAGGCTGACTCCTGTAGATCCAGGCCATAGAGAAGGGGAGGAGGGGTGTGGGAACCAAGTTTAAGTGTGGGTCAGAAATGTAAAGGGGGACAGACTGAATGGGAGTTGACTCCTGAAGCATTCCCCAGAGGAAAGCTGCAGCATTTTCCTTACCTCGGGTCTTTCCCCCTCTTTTCTAGGGTTCCAGGACATAGTCTGAGGCAAGATGGAGGGTGTGAGGGGCCTTCACACTTCACTTCATCCCTTCTACCCATCACAACATACAAAGCAACTACACCTGGATTTTTCCAAACAACTTTTATTTCCTCAAAGTCTTCCTTAACCCTATGGAACAAGAAGCTGCCACTGAATAGGGCCCAGTATAGGGGCTGCTTTCTTTTCTACCCCCTCCCCCCAATATAAAAATATAGATATATTTTTTGTGGTCCCAAAATCTTGTGCTATGGAGGGAGGGAAGGGGTGGCAAGTTCTGTTTTGTCCTGTCTCAAGGTGATGCTCTGCAGTGCCTAGGACAGTGTGGCTGGCATTCCAAGGAGTTATGGTTGTCACATGGAATTAGCAGCTGAGGGAGGGGACTGGCATATTTACCTTGTTTCCCCATCTAGGACTCTATCCTGGGCCTGAATGTAAACGCATTATCAGACCCGGGGAGAAACAGTGAGTAGGGGAGATTTAGGGACAAAGCAAACCCCAGGTTGGCCCAGGGGCCCCCCACTATAGCAAATTCGGGATGGGGAGTCAGACAGACTACAGGAGATAGGAGAAAAGGCAGGGGCAGAGCGAGGCCGTGGAGGCCCAGCCAGAGGCAGCCTGCAACAAAGAAGAGAGAAGAATCAAGGTAGTGAAAATTCTGCCCCTCTTATGTTTGGTTAGCCAAGGAATGTGAGGGGAAAGGTAGAGAGAAGTTGATGGGTTGGGATAGCCAGGTTGGTTTGTGCACAGTGATCTGATGCTGGAACCAGCCAGCTCCTAGGCCTTAGGCCCTAACTAGAAGTTATTTTTTGTCTTTTGGAGTGAAGACTGAGGGCAAAAAAAATCAGAGACTAAAATCTTAATGAAAATACATTTAGTCTTTGGGATCAAAGGAACTAGAGAAGGAAGAAAAGTATCCTAAATGACCAAAGTGGGAATGAGGGGCTAGAAGTGAGGGATGGGGTGAGGGGCTGGACCTTGATGCTCACCCTGGTATAGCAGAGCGGGGTCCCGGCTCCGGCTCACTGCTTTCCCTGGTCCGGGGGCTAGGGGATATGGGGCCTGAAGAACCTCTCATCCCTCTGCGAGTCGGCGGTGAGCCCCGGCCCATCCTGGGCCTAGCCTGTGAGGACAGGGGATGGGCTCAGAGGCTGGATTTTTCTGTCAGTTTTTTTGCTTCTAGGTTTGCTTCTAGATTTTGCATGCATAAGAGTAGTATAGGGGCCAGCAGAGGTACTAGGGCCTTGAATTCCTGGTTACTGTCCCTAGTTGAGAGGGTGAGGTAGGATAACAGCCAGAGGTTCAGTCCATGACTATGCACTCCAAGTCTTAACATAACTAGGGGTGGCAAAAGGATTCAGTATTTAATCTTCATGGCTATATCATGGCCCAGATCTGGCTGAGAAGCAATGCATGGAAAGATGGTTGAGGGTTGTAGGACCTCCCTCAGAGGCATCTATGCCTCAGCCCCTGCCAGAGCAGCTTAAGCTTCACCCATCCGGTCAGCTTCTGCCTATATTCAACATTAAAGCTAACCTAGTGTGGGGATTTGGACTTAATCAGAGTTGGTCCCTGCTCCTAGAAGCAGCAACCAGATGTGTTACCTGGGGAATCCGGGACCCCTCCTGGCGGAAACTCTCCTCGGGCATGTCTGGGCAGAAAGAGAGGAGAAGCTAAGGGCAGGGGCAAGGAAAGCCAAAGCTAGCAGGCTGAGGTTGGGATGCATCTGGCAGGGACATGGGTTGGAAGCAAGCAAAAGACCTGACTGGTGGGGACTGTAGGAGGGGTCACTGGATAGACAGGCACTCAGGCACCAGAGCAGCTCTCTGATATAGCTGGGGCTAGAGGCTGTAGAGAAGTGCTGAGCATTGCCCCCCACCACTACCCAGAGGAACAGCACCTTGCTGGGTTCTGCCAGAGTTGTTAATGCTGGGGACTGGGGAAGACCCAAAAATGTTACCTGCAATCGAGTCCTGATGCAGGGGATTCGAGCTCCAGTCCCTAGCAGACCTTTCCCAATCACCATGACAGCCTCTGGCTTGTCCCCTGAGGACAAGAGTGAGCAGCTACTCCCTATAGAACAGAGGAAACTGATCATGAGGGTAGGGGCCAGGGAAGAAGAAGTAACTTCCTTTAGGTGAAGGCTTCTCAATCTTGGCATTGTTGACGTTTTGGAGTTGGAAAAGTCTGTGTTGTGGGGAGCTATCTTGTGCATTATAGAATGTTGAGCAGTATCCCTACCTCTCCAACGTAACTACCAAAATCTCCAGGTATTGCCATATGTCCCCCCATGGGGCAGGGAGACAAACTGACCCTGGTTGAGGCTCTAGTCTTGGTTCAAGGGGTGGAGTGGTAACTTGGAGCTAGAATTAGAACACACCCAAGCTTAACTACTGTATAAATTTATAGACTAGGGCCTACCCCAATCATACAATTAGCAGTTAAGGATCAAGTCAGCTCTATGCAAGATTGGTGCGTTGAGGACACCCACTGAGGAGAGTCAACAGTCTGGGAACCACCGGCTCAGAGTGAGGTGGGAGATGTTTGACAAGAGTCTTGGGATCATTCCTGTCCAGTCCTTTACTAGCTAGATCTATAATTTAAAGGAAGAGTAGACAGCTTAAGTTTTGTGTGAATGATTTGGTTACACACAATGTTTGCAGTGATGACAGATGAAAGGCCTGTGCTTTTTTCATTCTCCAGATATGTTGCCTAGCTCCTGGAGTCAGGGAACTTGGGTAAGTAGCACTTTGCAGATAGAAAAAGTCCTCAGGTTCCTCAACTGTAAAAATGAGGATCAAATGAGATAAAATGCCTGGAGCAGTGCCTGGCACATAGTAAACGCTCAATAAATGTCAACTATTACTTTATTATACAAAGACATTCATTAAATTCCAGCTTCTTGTACAAAAGCACCGGTGTTCAGGGATTAGGATACCAGGAGAATAAGTGATTCCCCTGGTCTGGAGTGGCCTGCATTACATCAAGTCAAGAAGAAGTCCAGGTGAGGTGGCAGCATGGCTGAGGGAATTTCTTCAAGCCTAGTCAGAAGCCTGGTCTAAGCCCTAGGAGGTAGGTAAGGGAGGGAAAAGGGCAGCCCAGATTTTAGTGACAGTGGGTACAGACCTGTTAAGCTGAGTGAATTGGGCAGTAGGCAGGAGCCCATGTTGCGTGAGGAGACTGGGCCAGAACTAGCAGGACCTGGGGATGGGGCCAGGCTGCTTGCAGTAGGGCGATGGTTCATTGGCTGCTGCCGCCGTCTCCTGTCTTGGCTTCGGGGCTCTGAGTGAAAGAGACAAACGTGAAAAGGCAAATAAGTGAGGCACTCAGACAGCCTTCACTGACCTCTGCTGGCTCCCCTGGCTCAGAAAGTGCCTGTTTTCAAGCTTGTGATCAGACCAGCATCCCTCTTCTGAAGTAAGTAAGGTGGAAGATAGTAATTAGGAAAGACCTAATTATCCAGGTCTCAGCCAGTCTTCGTCCTACTATTTCAATTCTTTTGGCAAAGAAGCTACTGAGCTGTAAAGCACAGCTTTCCTAGGTTTTCCTCTTACCCTGTAATTGCTCATCATCCAATTGTTCTTCCTGCCCCTTCAATGTCAGTGTTTCCCACCATCCTCGTCTTGCGCCACTTGTTCTCTACTTGCCTTTTTTTTTTTTTTTTTGAGACAGATCTCACTCTGTTGCCCTGGGTAGAGTACAGTAACATCATAATAACCACAAACTCTTGGGCGCAAGTGATCCTTATGCCTCAGCTTCTTAAGTAGCTGGGACTACAAGCACCTGTCAAACTGCCTGGATAGTTTTTCTAATTTTAGTAGAGACGGGGGTCTCACTTTCTTAGGCTGGTCTTGAACTCCTGAGCTCAAGCAATGCACCTGCCACAGCCTCCCAGAGTTCTAGGATTACAGGCATGAGCCACCATGCTTGGCCACTCTTCTTAAACTCCCAAATCTCTTTCAGACACCTTTCTCCTAAAATCCAGCTCTAACTGACCACTGGACATTTCTCCCTGGAAGTCTCCCATGACTAAAACAACTCATCCCTATCTTGGTGGAAAATCTGGCTGCTAGAAACCTTGTTTCATCTTATTACTCCATTTAGATTGTGTTTAATCAAATCCTGACAATTCTACCTCTGTATTCACCTGAGTTCTTCCTTCCTTTTTAATAGCTCTGAAATTTTTTTTCTTTTTTTTTTTTTTTTGAGACAGAGTTGCCGTAGGCTTAAGTGCTGTGGGCTCAGCCTAGCTCATAGCAACCTCAAACTCCTGGGCTCAAGCCGGGTGCAGAGGCTCAAGCCTGTAATCCCAGCACTCCTGGAGGCCGAGGTGGGTGGATTGCCTGAGCTCAGGAGTTCGAGCCAGCCTGAATAACAGTGAGACCCTGGCTCTAAAAAAATAGCCTGGTGTTGTGGCAGGGGCCTGTAGTCCCAGCTACTTGGGAGACTGAGGCAAAAGAATAGCTTGAGTCCAAGAGTTTGAGGTTGCTGTGAGCTGTGACACTACAGCACTCTACCAAGAGCAACAAAGTGAGACTTTGTCCAAAAAAAAAAAAAAAAAAAAAACAGCTCAAGTGATCCTCCCAAGTAGCTGGGATTACAGGCACCATCACCCTCAGTTAGGAGTTCTTCCTTTATTCTCCCTTGTCTTTGCCAGTGTCCAAATATAGGTATTTAACTTTCATTCAGGCATTTGAAAAAATTTCCCTACTAGTTTCCCTGACTTGAATCTCTTCCCTCTTACCATCTATCTTTCATACGGGTGTCAGAAATTATTCTAAAACAGAAACCTGATCAAAAATCACTGTGGCTCAGGCAAGGGGGTGATACCGAAGATCTTTTAAGGACAAAGTCTAAACTTTTTAACATGGCATATTCAAAACCCTGCCCCCTGTGGTTTCAGGCTACACATCCTTTGTAGGATGTTGAGAGAAAGAAAAAACAAGAAAGTGAGTGAAAGCCTGTGGGAAATCTGCAGGTTGTAGTCAGAAACTGAGTGATACTTAAGAAAGAAGGTAGGAAGTAAAACAGGCAAGTAATGTAGAAAAAGTCAATGCAGAAGTAAGGCTCATGGAAAAGATACTAAGGGAACAACCCAGAAATCCTGCTCCCAATGAGTTTCAGAGTAAGAGACAAGATTTAGGAGAGAGGCCTGATAGGGAAAGTATAAGTCATTTAAAGATAGCGTTTGAATCATCACTTAAAGGACCATCTTTTTAAGTTTTTTTTTTTTTTTTTGAG